CCTGGAGGTGTTCTTGACTTATAAAGTTGACTCAGCTCTTCAGATTCCTACATTCACCAGAGGATTCAGATTTTAATCAACCTCTGACCTCGTGTTTGTATTTCTACAACTAGTCAGGTGATAAAAACTGTAATATCTGTCAGCATGTTGTTCCTTTTGTAGCACACAGTAGAGAAACAGCTGATTTCATTTGGTGTTTCGGTGCCTGACATTAAGACGCTTACAGACTTCAAAGACAAATCTGAGCTAATATGACAAGTAGTAGAAGTATTTCACACTTATAGTCAATTAATCGCCTCGTATTACTCGTTTATTTCTGCGCATCACTGCTGCACACATTCCTGCAGACTTTTTCATTTCACTTGTGTTGCCCCGTTAAGTCAAAGTGAGATTACTCCACAGCTCTCTGGTGTATTTATTATAAAGGTTTTCAGCGAAATGTTGCTTAGAACAGCAGGATGCACTTAAAGGTGTTCCAAAAAAATAGTTATTAGATGTATTTTTCTCACAGCTCTGAGATTAATATCGCAGCCTTCCCGCTCTTTATCTGCCGCCTCAACAACTCATTTACTTTCCCGCCCGTTTGCCGTCTCCCGGCGTTCATTAATCTTGTTCAATCAGCGACGGGCCGAGGCGTCGTCGCTTTTCCTGAAATCTGCACAGAACAAACAACCGGAAAATAAAAAAATAAAAATGACAGAATCAGCTGCCGGAGATTTCCAGGCCTGATTAGGATTCTGTGAGGGTTTCCCGCCCAGATAAGAGCTTCCCCTCGCCGCCGCCGCCGCCGCCGATGATGCAGATGTGATGTGATTTACCGTCGCGTCTCCATCACGTCTGAGAAACCCCGAGCGGCTCCTGACTCAGCTCGCCGAGGAGCCATCCGTCTTCCCGAGCCTCGTGCTTTGTCTCCGGCTCGGGAGATTTCAAGGTTGGTTTTTGTGCATTCGGCTCCCGTCGTCGCAGCTCGTAAAAGTCTCCCGGCGCGTCGACTCTGCATCCAAACGGCAGGAAAGTTCTGGAAAGTGATATTTTAAGAAAAGGAAAACGACTCATATTCACAAAAAAAAAACACCACATTTAGTTTAAGGAGCATCTGAAGGGATGCCACGATATTCCACATCTGACATTCTTTGCTTCTTGATACCAGTTTAGCTAATAGAATATTAATAATAAACTTTATTTATAGAACACACAAATAGAACAAGAAGCTATGAAACGTAACTTACAACTTAAATAAAAACTAGGATAGAACAGCAAAAAAATAAACTTGTGAGAAAAACATATTAAAAAAACATTGTTGTGCAACAAAATCTGAAAAAAAATCCTCTTTTTGATCCTGGAGCACCATTTCTACTGCTGCCTGAGTGAACATGTCCCCATTTGATCGTTAATTTAACCCTGAAAACTCACCTCTGTGTAATAAACTTACATATTTAGAAGTTTTTTCTCCATTAAAATGATCCATTCTCGCCAAAGCTGTAAAAGTCTTTGGTTCCTGCTCCCAAACTGCGCCACGATTCTGCCCTAAAGTGAAATTAAAAATGAAAAAAAGGGCCCAGTTGGTGGGAAAAGAATAATTTTTCTGTCGGATGTTCTAAGTGATGAGCAGATTATTTTAAAATTAGGCTCAGAACTCTTTACGAGCAAAGAAATAAGTCACAAAGGACAAAATACACAAATAAAACTGAATTATTTAACGACCTTGTAAGACGTTTGAAGAGTATCCTCAAACCAAAATGTCAAAAAACTTTGTCTTTTTGTATTTTTTTCAATATTGTGCCAAAAAAAATCCCAAAAGATAATGGTAGCGTCCCATCTGTGCTGCATTGTTCAGCTGCCTGATACATAGAAAAAGAAGGCAGACCATACATAGACTGCATGGAATAAATATGAAATGATTAAAACCACTGCTCTTTGATTTAAAATGTATAAATAGCCAACATTACACCCTTTTTTTTAGAGTCAAAAACTGTATAAACAGTAAAACATTTAGGACTAAAGTACCACTGATACATGGAGATATGAATGCAAATCATAAACAGACCAGATGCAACAAAAACTATGAGAAAACGTCTCTGTTCAGTCATTAATTTAACTCTAAAAGTCATCTGTGTGCGGACCAAGCTTACGTATTTAAAAGCTTTTTTTTTTTTCCATTAAAATGATCCATTACAGCCAAACGGGGATTCAGGTTGTAAAAGTCTCTCGTTCCTGTTTCCAATCTGCACCACAGCTCTGGCTAAAATGAAATTTTTAAAAAAGGGCCCATTGGTAGGGAAAGACCGATTTTGCTGTCAGACTTTATAAGCAGTAGGCTGATTATTTTTAAATTTGTCTGAGAGCTCTGGGAAGAGGAAAATAGTCCCACAAAGCACAAAAACACACCCAAAAACTGTGTAGTTCAATGGTTTGGCATGAAGTTTAATGAGCGTCCTCAATCCAAAATGTCAAAAAAGAAGAAGTGCAATACCAGAAATATGGTAGTTGATGCCAATAACATGAGATCTTTATGTCTAAAGTGTTTTTGTATTTTTACTGTAGTTTGAAGCAATATTGTGCCAAAAAAATCATCTTCTTTATAGTAAACAAAACTATTGTTGGATTTTCAAAGTTCTGACTGTAAGAAAAAATGTTGTCAGAAAAAAAAAAAAGTTAAAATGTGCCAAAAATAAATCATTTCCTCGAATCAGATTCTGTGAAAAAACAAAACTTCTGCACTCATCTGCACAAAAGCACAAACATAAATTTCTCATCTGTGACCAACATACTCATGATAAAAATTCAGGGAGTTTTCAGCTGAACTGCAGGAAGTGTTTAAACACAGCCAAGAAGAGACAAGTTACATTATTTATTTATTTTTTATTTTTTAAATAACTCTTTTAAAAAATTTGCAAAAAACAAACAGTTTGCATTAACCAGAATATGTAAAAAGCAAATTATTTTGGACTCTTTGGCACAAATGTGAAGCCATTATTCACCAAAGTGTGACCAACAGCCATGTGACAAAAATTCAGGGACTTTACGGCTGAACTGCAGGCAGTGTGTAAAGTTAGTTATTTATTTATTTTTATATAACTCATTTAAAAATTTGCCAAAAACAAGCAGTTTGCATTAACTGGAATCTGTAAAAAAGAAAATATTTTGGGCTCTTTTGTGCAACTGTGAAGCCATTATTTACTGAACTGGGACCAACAGTCATTTGACAAAAATTTCAGCGAGTTTTCGGCTGAACTGCATGCATCGAGAGGAGACAAGTTTAATTACTTTGTTCTAAATGTTGCATTTAAACATTTGCCAGAAGCGTTTGCATTAAACAGAATCTGTTTAAAAAAAAAAAAAAATATATATATATTTTTGAGCTGTTCTGTGCAACTGTGAAGCCATTAGTGACTCAGTTGTGACCAATAATATCATAATAAAAGGTTTTTGGTAGAACTGCAGGAAGTGATTAAACAAAGCCAAGAGGAGACAAGTTTAATTACTTTTTTATATGTATTTTTAAAAAAGTCTAATTTAAAAATTTGACAAAAGCAAACAGTTTGCGCAAACCAAAATTTGCAAAAAAAGAAATATTTTGGGCGAGTTTATGCAACTGTGAAGCCATTATTCACTCAACTGCGACAAACAATCATGTGACAAGAATTTATGGAGTTTTCAGCTGAAGTGCAGCCAGTGTTTAAACACAGACAACACATGAAACATGCAAATAGTAAAATAAAGTATGTGGAGCCTCCATTTTTTCCCTCACTATTATTATTAAATCACACATTCCAGCCAAATGGGGCTTCAAGCTGTAAAAGTGTCTTATTGCATCCAAACTGCACCACAGTTCTGGCTGAAGTGAAATTAAAAGAAAAGACTAATTCTGCTGTCAGAAGTCTCAGCGACGGGCCGCTAACGGGTCGCCTGAGAGGAACCCCAGCTCCGTGTGCTGAACGCTGCAGCCTGCAAACTGCTGCTTTAATGCGACGCTCACAGCTGGAGAGGAGGACGGCCGTCGTTCTCACATTAACAGTGACGGAACTTATGAGTTTTTAAGAGATGGGAGGGAAAAGAGGCAATTAAAAGTCCCATTTTTCTGAGTTTTAATCTGTTGATCTGCTCATTTCCACCTTCAGGAGGCTCGGTCGGAGGCGCCAGGATCATCACCCCCGACGTTCCCTTCTCCGTGGAGGACCTCACGTCCGACCACATCTTCTACGTCCAGGACGGAGGCCGCAAACCGGACAGCGAGCAGGACGTGTTCAGCCTGTACATCAGCGACGGAACCAGTCAGACGGAGGCCTTCGCCGTGGAGATCGACATCCAGGTGAGATTCAGCCGCTTTCTTCAGTGCTCAGAGGACAAATTTACAAACTTAAATTAGATTTTTTAAGTGATTAAACTTCTTTAAACTCCTCTGAACTCCAAGTGGATTTAAGCTTAGTTGCATTTTTTTTCTTGTGGAAAAATGTCAAAAATTCTGTTAAAAGTGAACATAAATAAGAACTAAAAGTGAAGAAAATGATCCTTTAAGGTTCCTGAAAAGTTTTTAAAATGAACTAAACACTCGTAAATTCTGATATCAACTATTTTTGTTGATTATTTCAGATTTTTTTTAAAAAATATTGCAGCTGTTCTGCTTCCATAAAGGTTTATTCTGTTTAACTTCACTTAAGAGGGGATTAAAATCGATTTACATGAGTGTCCTCAATCCAAAAGTGTCAAAAAGAAGCGTCACAACACCAGGAATATGACAGTTGATACCAATCATTTTAGATTTTTACGTCTATATTCAAAGTCTTTCTGTATTTTTACTGTCGTTTAAACTGATATTGTATCAAAAACAATAATCTTCATCATTTTTTGGTGTGTTTAGTGTTTTTTAAATCGAGCCGGAATAATTAATCAATTAGTTGTCGGCCATTTTTGATGATCAGTTCGTCTGATTTCAGCCTCTTAAATGTGATTATTTCCTAGTTTTTTCTTTCTTTATAAAAGTACACTGAATATCTTTGGGTTTTGGACAAAACAAGACGTTTAAGGACGTCGTTTTGGGCTTTGATGGACTTTTATGTACCGTTTATAGACCAAAAAAATCAACCGATTAGTCAAGAAAATGATCTAAAATCAGTGGAGACAGTCATCATGCAGACGTGATGGAATAAAGTGTGTTTTAATGTGATTTTATGTACAAACTTCAAGGCTCTCCGGTGTTTTGCTGCGTCTGTTTCCGCCGTCATATGAATCATTTTGTCTGACAGGAGAGTAAGGAGGACCGGCAGCCGGTGGTGTCCGTCAGCAGCATCCACGTGGAGGAAAACTCGGGCGTCGTCATCACCAACTCGTCCCTCAGCGTCCTGGACCAGGACACTCCAGAGAACGAGATCCTCTTCACCATCATCAGGATTCCCGCCTACGGTGAGCAGCGAGGGCAGCTCAGGGGCTTTTAAAGGTGTTTCAGCTCACAGAGGTCAAAAAGGTCGATGAAATACGATGGAAAACAGTTCAGCATCAAGTGGAATCTGTTGCTTTAAATTAAGTCGCACTTTACTAATCTTTTGCATTAATGCCACTAAAAATGAGTCTTTATTTATAGAGCGTATTCAAAGCAACACAATTAAACCTGAATGATTTACAGTAAAGATATAAGATTGATGTTATCAACAATTAAAAACTTAAAATATTAACTTAACTCAAAATCCTCTCATAAACAATTCAAAACTTAAAAAGAATAGATAAGATGAACCTTTGTTAATCTCTCAGTAGGGTGCAAACGTTTAAGTAATGAAGTGTAATATTATTGCACAAAAAAATTGTGCCTAAGTAAAAACTTGTCCAGATGTTTTAAAACTTGTCCCAAAACACTGTAATTTGTCCAAAATGACCAAAAACATTCTTTAAAACCTGTCAAAAATATCTTGAAACTTCC